AAAGATAAGGGTTTATGCATCAAAGATAAAGATAAAGATAAAGATATATATATTATTTTGTATATATATATCCTTTAAGCAGAATATAGTAAACAAAAGAACAAAAAGAAAAAAAGGAAAGCAACGCAGACACCAATCGAAAGATATACACCCACAGGAAACCCTAAACCCTAAACCCTAAACCCTAAACCCTAAACCCTAAACCCTAAACCCTTAATTCCAAACCAACCGCAGAAAGCGGCACGAAAGAAAGTTCTCCCGGCACCCCAACGAGAGGAGAGAAGCAAACCCTCAATCACTCTTGCACAAAAACATCAAACCCTAAACCCTAAACCCTAAACCCTAAACCCTCAGATTTGCAAACTCAAAATCATACAAACATAAAATGCAGAAAACAAACAACAAAACCCTAACCCCTGCCTACAGCCACGCACAATGGGGCTGGCAACTCCGTCAAGCCCCTAAACCCTAAACCCTAAACCCTAAACCCTAAACCCTAAACCCTAAACACTAAGCGCTAAAACTCAAAATAGAAATCCTCTAATTAGGTTTTCCTTCTATCTTTAGACATATCTTTTTTAACGAAACAAGAAACCCTAAACCCTAAACCCTAAACCCTGAAACCTAAACCCTGAAACCTAAACCCTAAACCCTACGGATCTGCCCATAGTTACACGCTACCAATCGAGCCCCAAACCCTAAACCCTAAACCCTAAACCCCAGTTCCTAAACCCTAAACCCTCAAAACATCTAACTGTATTTTCTGTTTTTCAAGCTGTCTAAAAGCCTTCCCCCTTGCCCGTCGCTACCAACCCCCAAACCCTAAACCCTAAACCCTAAACCCTAAACCCCAGAGCCTAAACCCTAGTTTCTACAACCTTTTCTCCACCTTCTTCACAGGAAGGAGATAAAGGGAGCCATTTCGCTGCAACAGCAGCAGCAACAGCAGCAACAGCAGCAGCAGCAGCAACAGGGGCAGCAGCAGCAGCAGCAACGGGAGCAGCAGCACCAACAACAACGGCAGCAGCAACAGCAGCAACAGGAGCAACAGGAGCCGCAGCAGAAGCAACACGAACAGCAACAGAGGCAGCAGCAACAGCAGGAACAGCTGCAACAGCAGCAGCACCAAGAGAATCAGCAACAACAGGAGCAACAGCAGCAGCAACAGCAGCAGCAGCAGCAGCAACAGCAGCAGCAGCAGCAGCAACAGCAGCAGCAGCAGAGATGGAGAAGGTGAAACGGAAGCGTTTGAAGGCAGAGGAGCAGCCAGGCTCCGATCAGGTGCAGCAGAAACAGCAGCAGCAGCAGGAGCAGCAGCAACAGCAGCAGGAGCAGCAGCAACAGCAGCAGCAGCAGCAGCAGCGGAATCGAGACAGAGCATCTAAATTGAGGAGACAGGCAGAAGCAGCAAGAGAGCGTGCTGCTGCTCTTTCAGAAAGAAGAATTAAAGAGCTGAAGCAAACCCTAGTTGGTGGTTTAGACAACGAGGACGTTGAAAATTGCAGACAAACCCTAAACCCTAATGAGGGGGAGAGCATACAGCAGCAGCAGGAAAAGCAGCAGCAGCAGCAGCAGCAGCAGGAGCAGCAGCAACAGCAGCAGAAGAAGAAACTAAAAACCCGTGCAGCGGAGAAGGCGCAGCAGCAATCTCTAGCAGACTTCTCGTCTAGTGCGTACCAAACCCTAAACCCCAAACCCTAAACCCTAAACCCTAAACCCTAAACCATTCTTTCGCGTATTTTAAAACCCTCAGCAAAATCTGCTTGTCCTTATGGGGGGCTTGGGGTTTTCTAGGGTTTAGGGTTTAGGGTTTAGGGTTTGTTAGGGTGCCTCAGGTATTGCTGCGCTGCTTGATGAAGAGACACCTAATATAAAAGATATTGAAGAGAAGAAAGAGAGAGATGAAAACAACAAAGAAGAAGCCCTTAGAAAACAGCTGCTCGCCGTACGCACCAGGGTTTAGGGTTTAAAGGAAATATAGGGTTTAGGCCGCCTCAAATAGCTTTTAGGGTTTAGGGTTTAGGGTTTGGGGTTTAGGGTTTAGGGTTTGTTTGCAGGAGAAGAAAAGACAAAGAAACAGCGCACATATAAAACCAAGTCAAATGGATATAGAAAGGGAGAACCTCTTAAAGAAACTAGCTACTAAAGGCAGTAAGAAAACCCTAAACCCTAAACCCTAAACCCCAAGAAGATGCAGACACCTCACGGCCTTGCAGCGCGAAGCTGTTTTAATTTTTTAGGGTTTGTCTGGGGTGTATATGCTGCCAGTTGTGTTTGTAAACCCTAATTGAGGGTTTAGGGTTTACGTGCAGCCAGTTGCGTTTGTAAGTGTAAACCCTAATTGAGGGTTTAGGGTTTGCGTGGGGTGTATGTGCAGCTGTACGCTTCTTAAATGTTTTAATGAATGCGCGGCGAGAAGGTGAAAAAATCGAACAAAAGAAAAGAAGAAGAAGCATGCACCGCTATAAAAACAAGAATAAAAACAAAACCCTAAACCCTA